AGAGAGTAGGTTTCTTCAAGAGACTATAGTTTCTCTAGAAATGAAAGTGTTTTGCTTCACGGAGGAGGCTCGAATCTCTGCCGGAGGTTTTGTGGGTTGAAACTTTGGATACTTAAGAGCCTGAATCTTAGAGAAGGCAGACACAGAAAGCATCAGCCTTTAAACGAGCTTATAACACGCTCGGAGCACACTTTCCTCAGCGATGAACGAGGTCTAGGAAACGATTCGTTTACATCTTCTGTTGTTTTGTTTGATCCTTGTTTAGCAATTCCTGAGGTACAAATGTGATGCAGGTTTTGCTGAAGAAACTAGAGCTGCAGATTTACGACCTGAAGAGAAGATTCTAGGAAGTGATTTGAGTGATGGTTCTCACAAAGTTGGAGATTTACTACCACCTGTGTCGAAACAATTCGTGGACGGTCTTTCAGATGTTCAAAGAGGTGCCTCGCTTTGCATTGCTGTTGTTGGAGCTACTGGTGAGCTAGCAAGAGGGAAGATTTTCCCTGCACTGTTTGCTTTGTATTATAGTGGCTACCTTCCTGAGGTATGGATTTTTTTGTGCTCATGAACAAAATTCTCGGCGAAAGCAATTTGATAGTTACTCGGGTTGTTTTCTTGATTGGTCTTCATTGTCACAGGATGTTGGTATATTCGGGTTTTCAAGAAAGAATCTGACAGATGAAGACCTCAGATCCATCATCGCGTCAAATCTTACTTGCCGTGTTGATCATCAGTATATATTGTTTCGTTCCTACCTTAAATTTCGTAACTTTGATATATGCCGGGCTAGCTAAAGAATGATGTGAAATGTTCAGGGAAAATTGCGGGGACAAAATGGATGCATTTCTTAGAAGAACGTATTATATCGACGGAGGTTATAATAACAGGGATGGGATGTCCCGACTTGACGAGAGAATGAAACAGATTGAGGTTACTTTATAATGCAACTTTTTGTTTATTATTACATTTTGTGCCAGAGGTAGTTCTCTCCTGTCTTTATAACATTTGGAACAGACAAGCAAGATAAACTAATTACATTAATATCTTTCCTTCTTCAGGGAGGATCAAAAGCGAATAGGATCTTTTACCTCTCAGTGCCTCATGAAGCTCTCATGGATGTGGCATGCACCATTGCAGATAAAGCTCAGGCACCACGAGGCTGGACTCGTATAATAGTTGAGAAACCTTTTGGTTTTAACTCACGTTCCTCTTATCAGTTGACAACGTCACTTCTCTCCAACTTTGAAGAGAGGCAAATCTACAGGTCCTTCTTTTAATCTAGTTGCTTCCTGCTGCATGCACAGCTCTCCGAGTTCATCTTTCTTCACATTTTCTGTGCATCCCCATTGCAGGATAGATCACATGTTAGGAAGAAACCGTATTGAAAATCTGACTGTGTTAAGATTTTCGAATCTAGTCTTCGAACCGCTATGGAACAGAACATACATACGCAATGTACAGGTAGTGCATTTTCCTTGTGATTGTTTATATTTGTGTTTAGTGCCTGAAACTTTCCTCTTCCACACTCTGGTTTGGTCACTCTATCTACAAACGATGTTTCCAGGTTATTGTATCAGAATCAATTGCGCAAACAAAAAAGTAAGGCACAGTTGTTCTATTTTCATCATCTGTTTGCATGTGAAAGTAAATTGTTCTGTTTCTACATTCTTAGGCACTAAAATGGAATTAGTAATGATATTTCTTCTACGTTTTTTCAAGGTACTCTGATGAATATGGAATAATACGGGACATAGTTCATAGCCATATACTTCAGACAATTGCATTACTTGCCATGGAACCTCCGATAAGTCTCGATGGTGAAGATATCCGGAATGAGAAGGTCAGTCTGCACAAACAAAGAACATAATCATATACAATAATGTACTCTTGTTATGTCAATTGACTTGGTGACAAACCTGCTTCTTCAGGTGAAGGTTTTGAGATCAATTCGCAAACTAGACCCTGGTGATGTAGTCCTTGGCCAGTATAAATCCAGTTCTGGAAACAAGAACGGCGTGACCTTGAATGGTGTAGACCCAACATATTGTGCTGCAGCCTTATATATCGATAATGCACGTTGGGATGGTGTACCTTTCCTAATAAGAGTCGGCACTGGCCTCATTAAACACAGGTAAGAATTATTATTCCAACTCATGAAAACATCAGGGTATGTATCAATTGACATAGAAATTGATTGGTGTGCTTTAATGTTAAAAGAGTGGAGATTCGTGTGCAATTCCGGCATGTTCCTGGAAACCTATACCGAGAAAATATTGGAATAAACATAGATTTGGGCACGAATGAGATTATTCTACGTGACGAACCTGATGAGGCCATCCTGGTGAAAATCAACAACAAGGTTCCTGGTTTAGGTCTTCAGCTAGACGCTTCTGAACTTAACCTGCTCTATAAAGACAGGCAAGTTTTGCTTTTCTCATCTGTGTTCCTACACATTTTGAAAATCAAATTATCGTGCCTTATGGTTATTCACATTGTTGGTTCAAAACTGTAGGTATAGCACCGAAGTACCGGATTCATATGAACACCTAATTCATGATGTAATTGATGGGGACAACCATCTGTTCATGAGAAGCGATGAGGTTGCAGCAGCATGGAACATTCTGAGTCCGGTCCTGGAAGAGATAGACAAGCACCACACGGCTCCGGAGTTGTATGTATTTGGTGGACGCGGACCAGTTGGAGCATACTATCTCTGGGCCAAACACGGCGTCCCATGGGCAGATGACTGAAGGAGAGACATAGATGCAGCAACAAACAAATGAGAATGATTCTGAATCTGTGGAATTCAGATTGTTCAGTATGATTATTGTGAAGTAGTCAGTTTATCTTGAAGCTGAGCCATTCCCTGTAGACTGTACATATGTTACACATGTATGAGATGTTGCTAAATGAATGTCCATCTTGGTGGGGTCCGTAATAGTGTTGAAAATTCTCCAAAGCCACCCAAGAGACTTTTAGATAAGGTAATGTTGTTAGTCTTCCCACTAGAGGTAGATATTATGTCTTGTCCTGCAGAAAATTCTTCCAGATCAATCATGTAGTTGCAAGTGTACTCGAGCAAATAAAAGAGAAGGGAGAGATAAAGACTAGAGTAGGATGAAAAATGTATAGCTAAAGAGAAACATTTTCAAAGGGGAAGGAAAAGAGAGTGGTTGAATGGATAGAGATAGAAAGAAGAGGAAAATAG